GATTTCTCTCTCCCTCCTCTGCTCTGTTCTTCTCTGCATGTAGTATGATTATGAATAGTGTAAACCATTTGTTAGCAGCACCATTTTTAGTGTAAACCATTTTGAATAGAATTCCTCCTTGCATTGCATGAAGTAGTTTGATTCTTATGATTTTGATTTTCCTCCTTGTGTTGTGTAGAAGCAAGAAAGCAATGTAATGAAAGACTCTTCAGTTTGCTACATTACTTGATTTTTCTCCCTCCTCTACTCTGTTCTTCTCTGCATGTAGTATGATTATGAATCGGAGCAATTTTTATGTGCAACACAATTTTATCAGCAGAAGCAGCAACTGAATTGAATACTTCTTCTTTTTTTACGAAGATAACACCATTCCAATGCAAACACTGCGATGCAAGGCCTTTAAGTCTGCTATACTCTCTCTCTCTTCTCTCTCTCTCTATGGCCATTACATGAGGGCAGGGTCAATTTACGTAAATTTTTTCTGGGTCCAAAAGTTGATGTTTCCAAAAGTTGAGGTTTTCTCCAGTGAGGTCTTACCCCCGGAATTTTTATATTTTGTTTCCAACTTTGTTCCCGGAAAATTGAATTTTTTGGTAGTTTTATTTTTTATTTTTTGATTTTTATAGGGCAGTACGATATAAAAAAAAAAATCAACGTATCCCATTTGTAGAGCTATCAGATATTCGAAACAATAGAGTACCCAATATTTCCATTCCATTCCATTGATGTTTCTGTCTATGATGCGATCTAGTGTTAAAATATTGGACCACCTCGATACTTTAACATATTTTGTTCTTTCATTGGTCTTATGCCGTTAGTTGCAGGTCCGTTTAATAAATCGTCACGAACATAACAAGTCTGTGGCAGTGGCGAAACAATATAGCATTTCGTCTATAAGCGTTTTTTTAGGTTTTTCTATATATATATATATATATATATATATATATATATATATACGACCGACCACCACCTACCTACCTATAATAAGTAATAAAGTAGTTAGTACTATATAGTAGTACTACTAGTACGTACGTACGTAAGT